CTTCTTCTTCTTCTTCTTCTTCTTCTTCTTCTTCTTCTTCTTCTTCTTCTTCTTCTTCTCCTTCTCCTTCTCCTTCTCCTTCTCCTTCTCCTTCTCCTTCTCCTCCTCCTCCTCCTCCTCCTCCTCCTTCTCCTTCTCCTTCTCCTTCTCCTTCTCCTTCTCTCTCTCTCCTCCTCCTCCTCCTCCTCCCTTTTTCCTCCTATCCTTTTCCTCCTTCTATCCTCCTTTTCTTCCTCCCCCTTTCCTCCTCTCCATCTCCTCCTCCTTCACCTCTACTTCATTTCTCTTCTCCTTCTCTATCCACAAACCCACTCCTTTCTAGCACTAATGATGTTACCAAGTTGGGTCATGAAACGCCTACAAGAAAACAACCAAGCTCAGAGAGCACCAAGGACCCCTGAATGAACATTGATCGCCCAGCGCAATTTATTAAATCCTTCCTCCAAAGAGCAGCCCAACGGATTGACTCTGAATACGTGTGTTGAGTCACAGCCAATTCAGGGAGTCACTATTTCCATGCAAGCCTCAATAACTGGCTGAATTGGTGAAACCAGGATCTCAGTTCATCGTGAGTTAGCAAGGGGTGTGAACAGGTGTTAGCAGACATGTGGTTTAAACCAAGTCTCCGGCTTAGCTGACACCAAGGAGGGAACTGTGGATATTCCAGGTGCTACATTGCCTTCTCTCGAAATAATTTCAGAAGAGCAATTTTGAAGAAGAAGGAGGAGGAGGAGGAGGAGGAGGAGGAGGAGGAGGAGGAGGAGGAGGAGGAGGAGGAGGAGGAGGAGGAGGAAAAAAAGGCTTTTCCCTCGGCAAGTTGGACTCATTTCTTTCCCAACCCATCATCTGTTTTTCTGCAAATTATAACAACACACTGTTGCCCGGGCAATTCCAGACTTTCTTAGCATGGATCAACCATCTCTCAAAATAGATGTGTAGATAAGTGTTTTGTCCTTCTTTGGACCAAAGCCCAGCTCAATCTGTGGCTGGAAACCCGGCGGGAATAGTGTGAACGGGTAGCAGCAGCTGGGAATGATCTTGCCCCATCAAAATAGAAGCCTCGGCCTTCCTTGGTATTTGTTTAAGGGCTAAGAAAGCACCTGCCAAGCAGAAGAGCCCAGCCCCCCACTCTTTCTCTCAGCCTGGGCTGAAGGGGGGAAGGAGGGAGAATTGTGGAAGGCATGACTTTTTGGGGGGAAGATGGGGAGATGATGGAAAGGGAAGGAAATCTAAGAAGAGGAAAAGAGGAAGTATAGAAGATGGTGGAAAAGAAAGAAAAGGAAGGAAAGGAAAGGAAGGGAAAGGAGAGGAGAGGAGAGACAATGGGAAAAGGAAAAACAATGGAAAAAGGAAAAGGAAGAAAAAAGGAAGATGGTGGAAAAGAAAGAAAAGGAAAGAAGGAAAAGAAAGGAAGGAAAGGAGGGAAGGGGGAAGGAAAGGAAAGGAGGAAGGAAGATGGAGAAGAAAGGAAAGAGGAAGGAAGGAAGATGATGGAAAAGAAGGAAAAGGAAGGGAAGGAGAGAAGGTGGAAAGGAAAGGGGGAAGGAAGGAAGATGGAAAAGGAAGGAAAGAGGAAGGAAGGAAGGTGATGGAAAAGAAGAAAAAGGAAGGGAAGGAGGAAAGCAAAGGAGAGGAGGAAGGAAGGAAGATGGAAAAGGAAGAAAAGAAAAGTAGAAGGAAGAAAGATTATGGAAGACACAGGCAGACAGGCAGGCAGAGAAATTTAGCATTTTGTTCTGCTGCTCCCCAACCCCCTTTCACCTTGACTGCCACATGCTCCTTCCAGCCCCCAGAGTACTTCAGAGTAACAACATCACACCACAAAATAAATATTAACTGTTCTCTCATGCTAAATAAATATTTACTCTCCGCACCTTGGAGAATTATTTAGGTGGGGTGTGTGGGTGACTTCGTGGCCCAGTTCCTTTTAACAGGGACCAAGAGCAGGTCTGTGTTTTCAGCTGTCCCCTCCACCTGAGCCTTTCTCTCTTTCCCACAACTTGTTCTCTGCTGTTGCACCCATTCCTCCCTGGTCAGCCTCCTGGACTTCAAGGAAACTGACCTTTGAGTAGAACCACGTAGGCCAGTAGCCCTTCACCTGAGTAACTCTAAGGCAGAGGTCTCCAAAGGTGTCAACTTTAAGACTTGTGGACTTCAACTCCCAGAATTCCCCAGGTTAGAGAATTCTGGGAGTTGAAGTCCACAAGTCTTAAAGTTGCCACGTTTGGGGGCCCCTGCTCCAAGGGGTGTGGAGGACTTCCAACTCCCGAAATTCCCCAACCAGAATTATACTACACAAAAAAAAGGTCTTACAACCCCACTCTGGGGGCTGAAAAGTTATGGGTTTTTTTTTATTACTACAGCCACCTGCTTCTGAGTGATTAAAAGGAAAAAAAAATTGGCAGGCCCAAGCAGGGTGGAAAAAAAGAGTATTTCTGAGTAAATCCACCTAAGGCTTCAGCCATGATCTAGAGAGCAATAAATCACGTTAAATCATTGTTTGTTTGTTTTCCTGGTTGCATTATAACAGGAGTCTCCAAACTTGGCAACTTTAAGACTGCATCCAGTTTTGGTCACCACATTATAAAAAAGATGTTGAGACTCTAGAAAGAGTGCAGAGAGGAGCAACCAGGATGATTAGGGGGCTGGAGGCTAAAACATACAATGAACGGTTGCAGGAACTTGGCTTGGCTAGTGTGGTGAAGAGAAGGACCAGGGGAGACAGGATAGCAGTCTTCCAATATTTGAGGGGCTGCCCCAGAGAGGAGGAAGGGGTCAAGCTATTTTCCAAGCCACCTGAAGGCCAAACAAGGAATAATGGATGGAAACCGATCCAGGAGAGATTCAACCTGAAAATAAGGAGGAATTTTCTGACAGTGAGAACAATCAACCCATGGACAGAAGTTGCCTTCGGAATTTGTGGGAGCTTCATCACTGGAAGCTTTCAAGAAGAGACTGGGCTGCCATCTGTCAAAAATGGTATAGGGTCTCCCGCTTGGGTGGAGGGTTGGACTAGATGACCTACAAGGTCCCTTGCAACTCTGATTATCTGTTTTCTGTGAAGACTTGTGGACTTCAACTCCCAGATTTCCCCAACCAGCATGGCTAGCTGAAGAATTCTGGGAGTTGAAGTCCACAAGTCTTAAAGTTGCCAAGTTTGGAGACTCCTATATTATAAGGAAGTCAGATGACTCCCCCAGTTCAGTTTGACAGAAACAAAACAATAAAAAAAAAAACCAGCTCATACATTTGGCATGAAAGCTATTCCTGGATTCCACCAAGTTGGGCTAGGCCTCAGGAGAAATGGGTTGCCTGCTTGAATGAGAAGCATGCTTTAAATTGAAGTAACAACCAAAGGGTTGTCTTCAAAAGAAAAATCTGCAAGGCAGGAGAGTCTATTTTGGACTTCTCCAGTCCCTTGAGTGGCAAAGAGAAGTCCACAAGATGCCCTAAAAGGAGACAGACAGGAAGGAGAAGCTCCCAAGAAGTTGTTGCATTATTTGATCTCTCCTAAGGGAGAAAAAATCCTGGACCAATGAGCTTTCTGTTGATAAAGTCCTTGGCACTTACTAGGAGAAAAAGATAGCTCAAGACACATCGGATGGTATAAAAGACACCAGCCAGTCAGCATCTAAAAGCATTTTTCGGTCTTGGTTCTTCAAGAGGTACTCCTGGTTGGAACTTTGGCATGGGAACAGGACAGGAGGGATAAGAGACAGAGCTGGGATTGGATGGACAGATGGATGGATGGATGGATGGATGGATAGATGGATGGATAAATAGATAGATGGATATCTTAAGACAGTTTCCCATTCTCTTCCAGGAACTTTGTGGATTGCACTCTTCCCTCAAGCTTTTCTTCCTTTCTGGATCCATCCTGCGCCTGAATCCAAGCCAACATGCCTGGTGGGTACAAAGGAGAATGCGGGGATGATGTTGACCCCATGCCTTTCTTGGCTCCCACCGAGAAGGAGAAGATTGAAGCAATGAGCAAACCGTACGACATCAAGAAGTCCTGTTGGGTGAAGGACGAGAAGGAAGGTTTCCTGGCTGGAGAGATCCAGTCGGAAACTGATACACAAGTCACGGTGAAGACGGTGACCAATCAGGTAAATTGATAGACTGGGGAAAGTCCACTTGGACTTTGTATGTCTCTTAAGTTGGGACCTGGAAGGATCACTCAAATCAAGGGGCAGGGAAGATGAGATAGGGCGTGTTTTGAACGTTGCATGGAGTGCCTAATAGCTGAAGTTTCCACGTATTAATCACAGTAGAATATGGATAATAGTTAGGATCTTGAAGGTATCTAATCTAACCTCTTGCCAGTGCATGAATCCATTATTACAGTATCTTTGACAGATGGTCTTCCAGGATCTGTTGATCTGCAGAGAGTTCGGCATCTCTCAAAGTAGACTATTCTACTGTCAAACAATCTTTATTGTTAGGGACCTTCTTCCTGGTGTCCCACCAGAATCAACTTCCTTATCATTTAAACCCACTATTTCTTACCTTTGGGAGAGAGAAAGGAACAATGAGTTTCCACATTGGTGAATTTAAGGGTGGTGTGACCCCCAGAATATCCCTGGTAGGCTCACAGCTGTTTTTTTACCACCACCCCATAGACACTCACCGTCAAGAAGGACGATGTCCAGCAGATGAACCCACCTAAGTTCTACCAGGTCAACGATATGGCAAATATGACTTTCTTGAACGAAGCCAGCGTCCTGGATAACCTCCGGCAGCGTTACATTATGATGAGGATCTATGTAAGTGGGAGAGAAAATGGGTAGAAGCGTTTGAATTGCTTGGACCCCCCCCCCCGAGATGGTTAGGACCATCTTTCGTTCCTGGGGGAGGGGGGGAGACAGATATTTGGGAGATATTCTTGTTTCTTTGTGTGTGTGTGTGTGTGTGTGTGTGGTGTGGTGGCCTCACAATCAGGAGGCTGTGAATTCGATCCTAGGCAGACACAGTTATTTCTCTCTTTGGGCACAATGCGGATATATCTGCTGAAAAAACTCCCCGTCGGCAACAGGTACGGCATCTGGCCAGTAAACACTCAGCTCCATTCAGTTGCCAGGGGATTATGGGGTCGTTAAAAGAACATGATTCTTGTTTCTTTTTTTAAAAAAAAATATGTTAAAATTTTTATATATGAATATTGGGAGATATTCACGGTTTCTTGTCCTGCACCAGAGGGCAGGACGAAAAACAATGGATATTAAAACTAATCCAGGAGAGAAGCAACCTGGAATTAAAGGAGAAACTTCTTAACTTTGAGGACAATTAACCAGTGGAACGGCTTGCCACCAGGAGTTGTGAGTGCTCCATCACTGAAGGTTTTTAATAAAAGACTGGACAGTCACTTGTCTTAAATAGTATAGGATCTCCTGCTGGAGCAGGAGGCTGGACTAGCAGACCTCTAAGGTCCCTTCCAGCTCTATTCTGATTCTGAGATGGAGGCAGTTCCCTGTTACATGATCCACAAAATGGAAATTCCCCTGTTGCTCCTTGTAATGAATAAGAAGGTGGCATCCCCTTGGTCGTCTTTGGGTTCTGCGTAGAAGTAGAGAGTGTTCAATTGGCAGGTGAAACCAATTTCAGCACTGGGAAGAGAACAGTGTCCAATGTTACCAAAACTCTGCAGCACAGTTGGGCAACGACAGGCAGTCCTTGACTTACAACAGTTCGAAGTTACAGCGGCACTGGGGAAAAAAAAACTGACGTGACCGTTTTTCACACTTATGACCTTTGCAGCATCCCCGGGATGATGGGATCACAATTCAGATGCTCGGCAACTGACTCGTTACTTATGACGGTCGCCGTGTGTCCCAAGGTCATGTGATCCCCTTTTTGCGACCTTGTGACAAGGCAAGTCATTGAGGAAGCCAGATTCGCTTAACAACCAGATGGCTAACTTGTCACCGGCAGTGATTCACTTAACAACAGTGGCAAGAAAAGTCATCAAACGGAGTAAAACTCCCTTAAAAATATCTCACTTAACAACAGGAAGTATGGCTTTTGGAGTGTTTAAGGTTGCAGACCCTTGCACTGTTCTGGCCAAGGCTTCCTGAGACCCTAATCAAGCACATGCTTAGTCCAAACAACTCTTGTTTTATTTCAATGGCTTGGAATTATGTTCGTTCCCAGCCCGTAATGAGTCCCAAACAGTTCCTCGAGATAAGCACCCACCTTTCTCTCCTTTGAATGCCTGCTGACAACCAAAGTGCCAAATGAACTGTAAAAAGCCAAACAGAGTACTAAGTCCCCGCAGAGCTTCAAGGTTTAATCCGAACAGAGCGAACAACGTTGCTTCCTGCAAAGGTTTCTCTACCTTTGCACCTCCTTTATACCTTAGGGGAGGGGCAATCACCTCCCAGCCTTACTCCCAAGCCGCCCCTTTTGTCTCAGCTGCTGTCGCCTTCTAGAAGGCGTCTGTGCACACACACACACACACACACTGGGAACAGGCTCCCCTTGTTCCTCTGCCTCGCTGCTATCAGGTTCTGGAGGCTTTGGAGTCAGCACCCCACTCCCAAATGGTCCTGGCCCCCTCTCTGCATCGAATGCAGGACCCTCGTCCGAGTCCTCCCTAGACTCTTGGACTGGTCCCCGTTCTTTCCCACTGTCCGATTCCGCTGCCGTCTGCACAGGTTGCTGTCGAACCCCAACATGCACTAAGAGATAAAGCAAATTCATTGGGGAATTAAACTCAGTAATGGTTACTCCTAGACTTATGGATGAGACTCGGAGTTGGGTCATCCTGCTCTTTAAACGAGACCATGCTGAAATGTGATTGGAAGCTGATCTTGTCTGCCTTGTTCTCCTCCTTAGACATATTCCGGCCTCTTCTGTGTCACCATCAACCCTTACAAGTGGCTACCCATTTACGGGGGCCGTGTGGCCCAGATGTTCAAGGGTAGGAAGCGTACAGAGGTGCCTCCTCACCTTTTCTCCATCTCAGACATCGCCTACCACGACATGCTTATGGGTGAGTGCTGAGAAGGTCCTCAAAGGTCCTTTAACGGTTGCAGGAATTTGGGCATGTCCAGCTTGGCGAAAAGAAGGGCTGGGAAAGGCATAATAGCAGCCTTCTAATATCGGAGGGGCTGCCACAAAGAGGAGGGTGTGGTCAGCCTGTTTTCCAAAGTACCTGAAGGCAGGAGAAGAAGCAGTGGGCGGAAATTCATCCAGGAGAGAAGGAATCTAAAGGAGAAACTTCCTAACAGGGAGGACATATTACTCAGTGGAACAACTTGCCTCCAGAAGTTGTGGATGATCCAACACAGGAGATGTTTAGGAAGAGATTGGAAAACCATTTGTCTGCCATGGCAAAGGTTCTCCTGCTTCCAGGTTGGACAAAGTGACCTCCAGGTTCCCGCCCATTGCTGTTATTCTATCTATCTATCTATCTATCTATCTGTCTGTCTGTCTGTCTGTCTATCTATCTATCTATCTATCTATCTATCTATCTATCTATCTATCTATCTATCTATCTCTATCTATCTATCTATCTATCTATCTATCTATCTATCTATCTTCTATCTGTCTATCTATCTATCTATCTATCTATCTATCTATCTATCTATCTTCTATCTATCTATCTATCTATCTATCTATCTATCTATCTATCCATCTATCTTCTATCTGTCTATCTATCTATCTATCTATCTATCTATCTATCTTCTATCTGTCTATCTATCTATCTATCCATCTATCTTCTATCTATCTATCTATCTATCTATCTATCTATCTATCTATCTATCTATCGCGAAATACCCTTCACAAATCATCACAAAATCTCCAGAACCGTAAAGCCTACAAACTTGAAATTTGGCCCATATGTTCCTCTTGGCTTCTAGGTGCTCACTAAGAAAGGATTTTTTGAAGTGACCATCAGAACATTTAGAGTATTTCCTATATTATTATTATTATTATTATTATTATTATTATTATTATTATTATTATTATTATTATTATTATTATTATTATTATTATTATTACACTCTGATGCTAAGGAGTTCTACTCCCCCTCCCCACCTGAAAAGAAATCTCTTCCAAAGGCAAAACACAAGCAGAGGAATTTCAGTTTCAGTTTCACCAAGCAGCTTTAGTACACAACAGTTGAGCTAAGCCATGCCCAGGCTCTTTGCTGTCTCCTTATTGCTCACGCAGCAAATACCCTTTCAGTCTCCAAACAGGACGCTAGCCAGATAAATACTGACGGATGCTGGTAGGCGGAGGCAGATTTCCCACCACCCTATTTTCCTCCCCCAAATCTAAACCCGACCATATAGTTTTGTCGCGAAGCACGGGTAGAGAGCTAGTTATTCTATAAAGGTCCTCTTTTTGTCCCTTGTTCCATTTACACAAAGCCAAAGGTACCAGGGTTAGACTAGAAGACCTCCGAGGACCTTTGCAACTCTTTTTCTATTGTTCTGTAAAGGTCTTTTGTCTCTTGTTCTGTTTATACAAAGACAAGGATACCAGCCCAAATTTTATAATCAGGCAAGGGCCAGCCACCTCCATTCCTAAGGCTCATGCTTCTCAAGAGTTTACTTGGATAATTAGCTATTGATCAATTCCATGGGATTTAGGGAAAAAAACAGATAATCCAGTGTTCGCTTTCTCTCTTCCTCCGTAGATCGAGAAAACCAATCTATGCTGATCACGTAAGTGGCCCTATTTTTCTTTCTATATATTCCCTACTAAAATATTAATAAAAATGGCTTGGTTTTTAATGCTCTACGCACCGTACAAAGAAAAATAAAAGCATATCGTATGAATAAGCGACCAAATTAATAATAAAAAAAAGAACAGCTTAAAATCGATTTCCTGGCAACAGACACTAATGAGAAAGTTTATTGCAGGCATCAAGAATTGTTTGCAGAAGATGTATTTTCCTGTTGGAATAAATGTTTCGAGGTTCCTTGAAGAGATTAGAAGCATTTGAAATGTGGATTTGCAGGCGGCTGTTATGTATAAGTTGGGTTGACAAAATCAGAAAGGAGGAGGTGATAAGTGCCTAGGAAAGCCAAGGGAAATCATCAAAACCATAAAAAAATGCTAACGTTAGACTATTTCGGACATGGGATGTGACACCCGGAAAAATACGGCATCCTTCACTTAATCCTCCAAGGAAAGATTGAAGGCAAACAACGTCCAGGCAGAAGAAGAACATGGTGATTTCAAAATCGAAGGGACCAGTTTGGACAAAACTCAGCAACCCTTTTTCATGTGGCTGTTGATAAAAATAGGATCGCCAACATAATCACCAACATCCAATGACGGATAGGGCAGGAGGAGGAGGAGGAGGAGGAGGAGGAGGAGGAGGAGGAGGAAGAGGAGGAAGAAGAAGAAGAAGAAGAAGAAGAAGAAGAAGAAGAAGAAGAAGAAGAAGAAGAAGAAGAAGAAGAAGAAAGAAGAAGAAGAAGAAGAAGAAGAAGAAGAATTACTAATTGTAATGATAGCTTGTTAATACCTGGGTGCTGAAAAGTGAGACTCTATTTAGGCCTCACTCTTGAAGGATTCCCAGAAAAATACAGCATCCTTCACTTAATCCTCCAAGGAAAGATGGAAGGCAAACGTGGTCCAAGCAGAAGAAGAACATCAGGGCTTCAAAATCGAAGAGACCGGTTTGGACAAAACTCAACAGCCTTTTTTCGTGTGGCTGTCGATAAAAATAGGATCGCCAACATGATCGCCGATGTCCGATGACAGATATATGGCACAACAAGAAGAAGTTCCTTTTAGCTCTACCATACAGATGGTCTTTGACTTAGAACAGTTCATTTAGTGACCAAAGTTACAATAGCACTGAAAAAAAGGGGACTGATGACCATTTTTCACACCTATGACCATTGCAGCAGCCCAACAGCATCCCCAATGAAATTCAGACGCTTGGCAACGGACTCATATTTACCATGGTCCCACTGTCACATGGTCCCCTTTTGCGACCTTCGGATGAACAAACTGAACAGGGAAGCCAGGTTCCTCCGAAACCCTCCATGTGGCTAACTTAACAACTGCAGGGATTCACTTAACGATGGGGGGGGGGGGGGGGGTCGTAAAATGGGAGGGAAACTCAATAAATGTCTTGCTTAGCAACATAAGTTTTGGGCTGAATTTTGGGGGTGATTCCCTTAGCCACTGTGGCAAGGAAGGTTGTAAAATGAGGCAAAGCTCACTTGAAAAATGTCTCGCTTAGCAGCAGAAATCGTGGTCGTAAGTGTAGGACTGCCTGTACTGATATATAATCCTCTTCCTTTTACCTCTAGCGGAGAATCCGGAGCGGGCAAAACTGAAAACACGAAGAAAGTCATCCAGTATTTTGCCAACATCGGAGGCACCGGCAAAACCTCTGCCCAAGGCCAGGTAAATCGATCTGAGGTCTATTATCCAGTAGCGGTTGGAACCATGATTAAGTGGTTGTTCTGATAAAACAACCCGACATCCTTAAGCGTTCCAAAATGCTTCTTCTTCTTTACAAATAAACTAATATAAAGAGAAATCTAGTCAAAACTATTCTGTTCACTCTTATTATTGTTAATAATAGTGAAAGAGAGAGAGAGTGAAATACCACTCACGCATCATCACAAAATCTCCAAAACCATAAAGCCTACAAACTTGAAATTTGGCCCCTATGTTCCTCTTGGCTTCTAGGTGCTCACTAAGGATTTTTCGAAATGACCATCAGAGCAGTAGTATTTCCTATATTATTATTATTATTATTATTATTATTATTATTATTATTATTATTA